TCTGTGGCCTTCTAGTGTTTGTCTTGACTTTTAACATCATATTTCTATTGATATATTTAGCTTATATGAATCATTAACTGATTTCAAACATGGACACTTTGCTTGGTGTTGCAGACCAATGGAAAATGTTACTGCTTGTTTTACTACTCAGGCCCATGAATGACGTTATGAGTTCTGTTTCAAATGCTTAGGATTTATTTATACTTGCACTAAACATGCATGGCCTAGGGCAGCAATTGAAACTAGGTGGCATCTATGTGAACACTACTCATTCCAAAGACTTGTGCTCATAAATGATCACAACCCTATTTCCTGCTGAGTGAACTCAGCCTCAGAATCCTTCTCAACAGCCACGAATGCAGCAACCATAGGACACAGAAAACTATTTGCTGCCTCTAGGCCAAAATTAAAATATCTAATTAAAAGCCTCATAGGGCTGCTGCCTTCCTTATTAGACTGATTGCCTGCTCTGCTTTTCAAATCTTTTGTTTTTGTCCTGACAAATAATGCTTCATTTTTTTTCAAGAAATGACCTTTTATTGCATATTTTTGAATTCCCCATAGCACCCCAAACACTTCTAAATACACATTAGGGACTCAATAAATATTCATGTCTTGAATAGCCAAAACACTAGAACTATGTGACAGAAATATCTCACAGAGCCAGGCAGGACCCAGTCTCAGGGACGCCTGTAACCAGGTGTCAGCACTCTCCTGATCCTCAAGGAAAGAGTCACGTACCAAACCGCCCTGACGAATTAAATCCTGGGGAACTGGCAGAGCAAAGAAGAAATGTGGAAGTTCCAGTTCCTTTTGTGTTACAAGTTTCCAAAATATGAGGAAATATGCCGAATGCGTTTGGCTTGCAAATGATAATGTACTTTGAATTAATGACCAGCAGGGAAATGCCCACTGAGCAGTTCATGGACAGTGTCTCTCTGAAGTCAGATCCTTTTGGCGAAGGACCAAAGGGCCCTTGCCTCCCCACCCAGCCGCCGGCCGTCGCCCTGGCCAGGAAGCGCTCTGCTGTCAACTCGGCCTTGCAAAGGTGAGCGACTAAAAGCACCGCTTGCAGTTAATCAAATGACCCCACTGAATATTCCAAAATTTGGGTTCGAAACACATTTGATTTGGGGCCCTGACTTAATTTTAGGAGGAACTTTTTCTTAAATTAAAATGTAGATATAAAGATCAGACTTTAGTTGTTTTTTTTTTAAAAGAAACAAAGGTAAGATTTTTAAATGTTCTAGCTTATTTGGCAACATAGTGGATAAACCACCACGTTCTAATGCTAACTTTAATGAAATTATATGAATTCCCCTTAAAACTGTGTATGTATTCTAAAATAATCTTGTTGATGACCCTGCTTTATTTCAGATTTTGTAGGTTTGTAAAGTAATTAATGCTTTAATTAACATCAACATATACGATACTTTCCTCTGATTCCAGCAAATACACCCAATTTTTAGCTAAAGAAAATAAGAATCAGTTAAAAGATTCCAATTATTTCTTTCATGTAAGTGAGTGAGAACCTATTTAATAGCAACTTAACAGTCATTTATTTGTTCGTTCAACATTCATTGAACACCTGCTCTGTGCCAGGGACTCTGCTAGCTAGTGGGGGACAGAGCAGGGAACAAGGCAAACATGGCTTCTACTCTGTGGAGCACACAGTCTAAGCCGGAAATCTTGCCACGGAACAGCTACAGAAAGACAGAAGTCAACAATGGAGATAAATGTGGTGCAATCAAATAAAGGGTGCTTACATCTTTCGGTTTACTTATCAAACCATGGGTTCCTGTAGAGGTGGTTTTGATTATCTAAATTCCGATTTGCCCTAAAAAAGACATTGGAGTTAAAATTACGTAGAAATAACATTAAATAGAAAGTCTACTACAGGTACAAAATGGCTATTTCTGCATGTACATATCTGTGCTGAATATAAAAATGACAAAAAAATGCTAGTTACTCTAGAATTACTTTTAACCAAGGTAGTTTCCAGGGGAATTCATGGCCGCTTTAGGTTAATGGTCATAGGCTGCATGTTCAGACCTCAATTAAACTCTGAACTTCCATTGTTATTGCTTAATTGGCTTGGTTATATTTCATGTCAACATTTCCAAATGACCTGCCTTTTAAAAAATAAAAATTACCCTGACAAAGTACCTTGGGCCATTGCTGAGCCTGACATTTGTGGCTCCAGCTCTCTTCATATAAGGCGGGGCCTAGAACTTGCTTCGCTTTGTGACTACCCACCACCCTGGCCTATGATAGGAGACAGCTCTGGAGAAATCTTCGTGATGAGAGAAAAAGAACGAAAAACCAAATACATCTGTTGCCACGATTACTATTAAAATGCCACATAAATCCACCGATACCCATTTTATTCTAAGCACAGGGAATTAGACAGTTTTAAAATACCTTGAGTATCACCATTAAATATTGTCAAATTATGCTTATTTAAAAATGATACTATGGTATCTTTTCCTTACAAGTGACTCCAAATGTTTAGTTGTTCCAATTAACTAAATGGAAACATAAATCCCTTTCACTTAGACATGAAACAATAAGAACAAGTTGGATTTAATGAGTTGGACTTTATATAAAGTAGGTATGATGATGCCAAGATCGAACTTTGCTAAACTGACTGAAACAAATTAAGGCATCCAATGAGCATTTCCCCTCCCCCCCCTTGTACTGTGGAAAAGTTTTAAAAGTCTTTTTGAAGTACTTTGATCAAGCTTTGAAATCATTTTAGTGGATTACTATTGTATGAACATTGTAATTTATAGTGCTTGACCTAAGCAACTCTTTGTCTCATGGCCATATTCAAAACAATAGCAGGAAAGTGAAAAACACAAGGGGAACCCAAGCTGTTCTGGTTTATTATTTAATTCATAATTCCATCTTCCTTATTTAATCTTTGGAATCTGGGCATGTTCTTAATAAAACAGGTTCAGATCGTGTTGACTACATACAGGAAGGTTAGCTTTGGGCACTACCATGAGGTAACCCGAGTTTTCTGTCCCATGCAAACCTTTCTAACCTAAGAGTGACTCCACAGACAGGTTCAGAGAGGCGTCTCTCTGTAAACGGTGACACTGCAGGCAGCTTGCCATTGTTTACCTTTTGGTTTCCTCTCTGGTCGAGCTCGCTTTGTTCCTTAAACCTAATTGAGGATGTGCCAATGGCGAGATTTTCTCCTCCCATCCTTGTCACAAAATAATTACGCTTGGAGGCAACTTGCTCCCCTCAGATCACAAGAAAACAGTAAGCTGCCCCCAAGATGAACAGCTGAATCATACTGGCAATTTACTGTATTAATTTGTAATTTTAATTAGCTGAACACCACCACCTCTTGGCCTGAAAAAATAGCTGTAAATCTCACTTTTTTTTTTTTTTTTGGCTCCTTTTGCCAAAACATTTACTGATGGCCTAAAACTCCTACCATATTTGACCCTGTAAAATCTTATCATCTTAGTTAAAAGTTTCATGATCTTTCAGGGGCCACACATGCCCTCGAATAACTATTTTGGGCTGTGGAGGATACTTCGGTATGCTTTTCCCCAAGGAGATTAGATCAACTACTCCCCTCGGAAGACATATGGATCAGGACTTAGATGGCATGGGTTTTTGTCCTGGGTCATTTCCTAGGGAGAAAAAGAGCCAAGAAATAGTGACAAAGTACAAAATACATGTCCACTGGAGAGGAACCTGGCAAAGACTAGTGTAGGCGCAGATGGCTGAGAAGGGGTGGGAAGCGAGGGGATGAAGCAGTAAAGATTTGATTCCATTGAACTACCAGGCCTGTAGGGGAGCAGGTTATAAAGAGCAGACATCTAAGGCATCTTCATTCAGAGAGGAAGGAAAATAATGGGTGTAGCTCCTCCATGAGTGAATTAACTGTTCACTTGGGCACTGTGCGGTAATTAGTGTGGCCCTCCAAGGACCAGTTGGTGGATTACCTCATCCAGGGCTCGGCAAATCCCTGGTGGCTTCAATGAGTTAATACAGCCCCCAAAGACCAACAGTTGATCATCTTTTCCAGGGTGGAATGAAGTCTCGCTGAAAACAAGCAGGTACACACAGCTATGGTTAAAGGAAGATTATTTCCCCTGGAAAGCCAGCCTGCTGCTTTGGAGCCCTGAGCCTTCCCTTTTACATGAGAGTTTAGGAGTCTTTAGAAGAGCTGACGTATCCCTCACCAGAGAGCAAAAGAAAAAAAGAAAAGATTTTCATTGGTTTTCTGGGGGCAGGTTGTTTGAGATGGTGAAAGGAGTCTGGGGGGTCACCTTAGATATCAGTGCTGGATCAGCTTGGCTCTGAGCGGATCCCCTGCCATACTTCCAACAGAGTCTCTTACTTGTTTGTGAGAGCAGATGCTTGGCAAGTCTATATATGCCAGAGAGAACATCATTTACTTTTACGTTTTACACACGCCTGCTTTCTGGGTTGGCATAATTCATTAGCGCAGTTTGCAGAGCGCTCCATAAAACAAGATCTGGCTTCAATGTGAACGTTCTAATGACGACGGCAATAAAAGAAAGTTGACATCCCGTGTCTACTTTCCAGGGATGATGTTTATACTGCCTAAACTAAAAAAACAAACAAACAAGTAAACAAGCAACATACATAGAAGTAACACAGATAAGTATTTCTGACATAAAATAAAAGAATAAGGGTTAAGCTTCCTATTTGGGAACAGCACTCCCTTCCCCCCGACTCCTCCAACTGAAAAGTAGTATGTATGGTAATCACGTTGGTTATTATGTGGGAAAAAGCTTAAGTTTTGAATAACTTGTAACTTTATCATAGTAGGCACGGTTTACTGCTGGTTTCTTTCCTGCTTTTAAGAGCCAAAGTTTAAAACCTTATTCATGAAGAGGAGGTGGGGCCTTTGCGGGAGAGCAGGAACACCTTCTCATAACACATTATGTCAGGGCGCCAGGTAGAAGAATGAATACGAAATGCAAGCACCTCTTATTTTTCAATTTATTTGTGCACTCTCACCATAAATTTGTTTAATGTAAAACAAACAAATCCTAGACAAGGGTTTAACAGGGTTTTCAACATCTGTGTAGATAAATGTAATTTATCCCTAAAGAAGAAAAAGCAGTTTAGAGCATGCCGTGAGACCTGCTTTTCACAACACTTTCATTTAAAGGGTGTTGTGTGTGTGTGTGTGTGTGTGTGTGTGTGTGTGTGGACAACAGTAGTGGTTTCAAATCATTGTTTCACTCTCAAAACTTGAGTGATGTATTTTACATGGAAAGAGAAGTTTGCCTGAGATCTCCTTACGATTTCATCGCCTTTTTCTTTCCTTTTTGTTTAATGCAACCCTCAGCAGAGTTAAAATCTGCATGTTTGGACTTGACATGTTTGTATCCTTCAAAAGGAAAAGCAGACTTTTGTAAACCTCTTAGGTACAAAATAAACATAGTACTAATAGCATAGTTAGTCTTTTGAAAGAACCAAGCACTACAGATAACTTAAACATGTTTGTAAAAGCTTACATTTTAATTAATATTTCCAAGCTCACCAATTCAACATTATAAAAGTCATTATTTTTTGTCAACGTGGGGGCAAATATTTCACTAAATACATTTCTGGGCATATATTTATCTTTAACTTTCCAAAATAGAGGTTTATAATGAATTTACTGATGTTTTGCTTTAGACTGAAATTTGATTTACAGCATAAAAAGTGAATAGATTAAAGTGAATAAATACAAACTCTCCTTTATTTTGCGTACTGAAAATCACCTCAAGTTTATTTCTGGTACACTTCACTCATTCAAAGCTGAATATGTCTATTGCCTAAATTATTTGAGTGTTACATAATTATGTGGTATAAAATGCAGATAAAAAGCAGTGTACCAACTGTACTTTAAAAAAATTTCACTCATAAAAATACTATCATACATACTGACAACCAGCCACATTTAAAAATAAACTCTTGTCAAAGCTGGCACCGAGCTTCAATCGTCTCCCTCAGCCTCCAATCCAACGGAGGAGTGCGGTTTCCAGACACAATGTAACTAATACTTCCAAATGAGATAAATGAAAAATGTTTGGTGTTCAAATAAGTATTATAAAAAGAGGAAATTCTCATCAAGTATATTTTTCAGCTTGGCTTCAGGCCATGGAAGTCAGGAAACCGTAAAGACTGGACAAAACAAGCATGCGGCACGGGCTGCCCCCGCGGCCGCCTGGAGCCTGCAGGTGAGGGGGGAAATTGAGCGTCAGACTTGACGTCTTCAGCTTCGCTAAGACTGCGCTCGATTATTCCATGACGGTAACGCAACACTGGGTATCTGACTGTACATAAAGAGAAAGGGGGAAGGAGAGAGAATAAATGGAGCCTTAGGGAAAAAAAATAAGAGGGTGATTCGGTAACTGGGAGGAGAATTGAAAAATCACACCTTTCAGTTACCACATTTTTTCTTTTGTTCAGTCTTCAAGGAGAAACCATCCGGAAGGAAGAAAGATTATGACTATCTATAAACTAACTGTTTGACAGAGACAGAAACGCTGATAATGAGTGGGTTGTGTCTGTAGTTCTTGGCTGTTCACATCAGCAAGGGATGAAGGAAAACAGAAACTCTTGATATGTTTGTCTAAAGAGGTAGTGGTGTGACCACGGGCAGCAAGAGTTCAGCTGGAGTTCAGAGCAGATGCTGCCAGGAGTTGACGCTGCAGGAAAGTAAAATTGCTTCCGGATTCACCTTTTCCTCCCAGCTCCTCTTCCAGGACCATCGGGGTCAAGCTGTGCTCTGGCACAAGGTGACGATGTCCGTGGGGAAACAGGCTTTGAGCAGGATGCCTCTCTCCCGGTTACAGTCCAGCTCCTGGATAAATCCGTACCAATAGATGACCAGGCCGGGCCCAAATCTGCAAAAACACGGGAAAATAACACACACAGGTCGTAGTATCAACATAGTTCCAAAAAAGGTAATCTTTGAAGCACTGATAAGATGATTAAATGATGTTATTGCAGAAATGTTTTTATTTTGGTTGCTCTAATTATGACTGGAAGGAGCTGAACTGATACCAAAGAGCTTATTTAATACAAGTATTACCACCTGGGGCAAATTTACTACCTTTCTTTCAAGGAACCTGATGTATTTCAGATACATGCACCCTCCTAAGTACGTTTCGGGAAGATGTCACGAGCGTGGGCTGATGTGAGTACTTCAGCTGATGGAGGATAAAACCGGAGTTGAGGCAGTGAGGAGCTGGGGAGCACCAGGTGTGGGAGTTTAGACCGCTGACAGTGAGAGGTCTCCTCAAAAGTTAACTTAGCGATGTTCAAAGGGGGAAAAATAATGATTTCAAAAAGAGAAATAATTTAAAAAATGGAAGAGCTCAAGGTCCTCCTCTGGCTATAATGTTCTATTCATGAATAATAGGGTCAAAAGTCTCTTCTGTCATCCTTTCTTTCCAGTCTTAAAAAAAAAAAAAACTATAGGACAATGGGGAGCCTGTCTAGAGACCTTCTCCTTGACTCTCCGTTCTCTGCATCACTACCTCTCCAAGTTCAAACACAACGTGAAATTTGGTCATAGGTTTTTTTTTCTCCCGCTATGAAAATGAGAAATAATGGCACACAGACTCATGATAAAGTATAGACAAATGCAGGTTTAAAACCTCAATATTTTCACATTGTGCCTGCGACTTATCTCGAATTTGGTCAGCAGCAGACTCAGGAAGTCGTCCCAGAGACTACTTTACCCATCAGGAAGTCGGGACCTCCAGGCTGGGTTCATAGAGATGTGATCACTATCAATCACCATGCACACAGAGACGGTTTGCACATCAGTTTCACGTTTTTCTGACGGCAAGTTCTTAATTAAAGGGCAGCACTACTTTTGGTGTCGTGTTGCAGGAATTTTACAGTGAAATCATAAATTATGAATGCTGGGTTAGTAAAAGGATGTCTAAAAACAGAACTGCTTTCTGTGTTCTGACATTACAGCAGGCTGAACCACACTAGGCCAAAAAGCTTTTTCCTTCCATGATTTATTATATGCTGTGGTGTACTTGCCAAAACTAACAGTACAGGATGGGCTGTGAGATACTGTATGCACAGGAACAAGTTCAACTGGATGTCATGGAGTGGTTTATTTGGGGATTCACATCAGTAAAGTAGCCAAGTTGGATGCGAGATTAATGAAAACTTTTTACACCCCCTTCATGCAAGGACAGAACCATGAGATGGCAGCTCATCAAGCGAACTGGTTCGAGGGGACGCTATGTACGGATGAGGTGCCATGGAGCACCAGGCCCTGTGATGTTGACCCGAATGCAGGGAAGGCGGCAGATGCTCTCTTCTTCCTCAGCGTTTCTGAGGGGGTTCCCTCTGAGGGCAGAAGAACCACAGGGTGTGCGGGCCCCCGTGCTTTCATGCACACAAGGTGAAGCTCACACCTGGAGGAGAACTTGCTTCTATTTAACCGCGGGTTGCTTAGTAACTTTTCATCACAAACATTTGTCTGTAACTGGAACATAAACTATTGGGTATCTTTATTTTACAAAAAAACTCTGTGATTGTTATCAAATGACCTCAGATCTGTCAAAACAAGTCTGGGAAGAGCAGAAAGACCTGCAGTTCTCAGGATCAGATCTGAGAAGCCTCAAGCCTTCCCATCAACAAAGCAGCCCTGAGTCACATCCTCGATAGATCTAACATTAAGCTCAACACATTCCTCTCTCGTATAATGCAGCCGTTCTGGAGACCACGATGTTCTTTTAGAAAGGCGCTGTTATTTTTACAAAGGGAGAAAAAATATGTGATCTAACCAGTCATGGAAAAGAACAAAGAAATATATGAGGGTCATAAACAACAAGCCCAGTGTTTTAAAGATTTAATAAAACAAAAAACACATATTACCAGCACCGAGAGAGCAAGAGCAGTCTGTACTTTTGCTGAGCAGCTAAATCATAAGCCAAAGGACACAATGCATGACAGCTCTTTACAAAAATGGCACTTTCTAGGCAGGAAAGCTGGGCAGCAGAACACCTCAAAGACCAAGAAAATGGACTCATTTCACTTGTGAGGTAGCAGATGACTTCTGCAACTCGAAGAAGTTTTTGCAAGATTGTGAATCTGAACATTTCATGCAGCAGTTCACGACCAGGATCCTCTACAGGTAGTGACATGGGTCTGTAAGTTATCAGTATATATGACTAGTGATTCTTCATAAGACTCTACCATGGATCAAAGTATTTGCTTCTGAGCTTTTGGATGGAATTACATTAACTTAGGTACTACTAACTCTTTCATGTGGCTCAAAAGCTCTGACTGAAAGTATGTGCTTAATTGAAGATGAGGGAAGACAACCACCCTTTATAAGTGGAGAGTGGTAGAGGGAGGTTTTCAAATTATTTAGTCTTTGAGGAAAATAATAGAAACTTTAGAGGGTGACAAGTGTGGACATTTAATGACAGAACAAGATCTGGCCTTGTTCCCGATACCTCCTTGAGTGCATTTCTGAGCTTTCTCCAACTCCTGATCCAGAGATTATCAGACACTAGGAAGATAATCTTTCAGCAACTTATTTGTTTATGAAGAGGCTGACCATAGTAAGAAACTTTATATAATTAATTCCTTCATTATCTGAACTAACAAAGGGAACATTTTAGTTGACAGGTTCAAAAAAACCAAGCAAGCCAACTCTAGTGTTTTCTTCTAAAAAGGCGCAAAACAGAGAAAAGAGCACCTAAGAAATTTTTATGTAGGTCAAGTATATGCTTGTGAGTTGAGTGATTTCACCTTCCTGATGCCTAGTCCCATTTACTGTGGCACTACTGGGCAAGAATGAGATCGCTGGGAAGGCAAACATAACCTTTGTGACCAATAAAAATCAAAGAGACTGTTAACGGCATTTAAAAGAAAACAGAGTCCCTGGGCCGGAGGGAATGTGCAAAGCAGAGGGTTGGTCTGCTACTGGGCCTGCAGCCCTCCCTACCAGCCAGGGGACATGCAGTAATGGGATGTATATGGATATCTGAATTGATTCTGTAAACACATTTCTAGGTTGACTATAACTTTAATGTTACTGTACTCATGGTCAAGTAATAAGATCAAAGACTCCAAATGGATTTTACAAACTCCTGTGGAGCAGACACTGGAATGTGACTTTTGAACAAGTAATTATGCCTGTAAATAAAATACCACCAAATTAGCAAAAATAACAAATACCTCTTGAGAAAATGGGAGGTGAAAGTCAAGAGCCATGACAGACCTTGAGGGTATGAAAGATGAAGTTCTACATAAATAACGACAACCTTATAAATGTGTTTGTAATGTGTTTCTCTGGTTTCCTTTCATTTTAGAGTATTTAGAGAAATTAAATAGGAGACTGGGGAACGAAAGCTGGGTACCCTTTTGTGGTTTTTGCGCACATCTGTCTCCCAGAGATTATCTCTCATTTTACCATTTGTCTCTTTGCTATACTGCGACCCTGCTGGGGGAAGCCTTGCAAATTAGTGTCATTTCTGTGACTGGATCTACGAAGTCAAGGCTGGGCTCTGATTAACTTAAAACACTTGAGCCAACACATAAAAATTGGGAGTTTTTACCCCAAATCCTGCAGAGTCACATCCCCTTGAGAAATGAATTGATAAGGCAACAGTCAGCTGGAGCCGAGTAATGGCTGCCCCCTTCAGGCACAACACTGCTCTCAGGTTTTCCAGACTCCACCATTCTCTGTCACCTCCCGGTGCCGAGGCTCAGTGCCAGGTGCCGCTCACCGTCCTGCTTGCACCGTAGGTTTTCTTTAATTGCAGAGACCTGCTTCTGCATAGTCACATCGCTATCAAATTTGGGAAAGCAAAGACAACCTCAGAGGGTTTCATGTTTCAAGAAAGAAATGGAAGGGTGCACATTTCTTTTTTTAGGTCCTGTCTGTTCTGCTCATAAATGCCCACCTGTCCCCTGTGCGCATTTGAGCTCGTGGGCCCTGCCTTGAGTTCTCACTCAGAGGTTCCTGAAATTGGGCCAGAGACCCCTGAGTGGCTGTGAAGAGACTGCAAGGCATCCGTGGGCACACTAAGCGCTATCTTCAGGAAGAAAAAAATCTGGTCCTTTTTTAGGAATGTAGATAATGAAATAGAATTCACTGTAGCGCTTTGTTATGTAGGTTCTAAGTAGATGGAATCTAAAAATGCAGCTGTAATCACATGGCGGGGGGCAGTAAGCAAAAATTATTTTTGTTTGTTTTAAAGATTTTCATTTGGCAGGACTGGGGGATGCTGCTCTAAATGCGTTGATCTTTTCTAGATGAACGCACACACGAAAGAGACTCTAGGATACAGGGTAATATTAAAGATGTGTGAAAATATTTAGCAAATTTGTCACTAACCTGTCCCTACACATAAAGTGCACGTTCATAGTAAAAAATGAGCTAGAAGAAAAGACACTTAGTGCACCGGGTCCCATACAGAACTCTCTCTCCTGAGAGCAGCCTCACCACCGCCAGGCACAGGGAGAGAGGCACAGAAGAGAGGCAGCAAACTAAACTGGGCAACAGCAGCAACGAAAGAAGACGCAGAGGGGTGGCAGCGCGGGAGTTCCTGCTGAGCTGCAACTGAGAGCTGCAGAGAGAGACTGTGGTGAGCCGACTTCTAAGACGATCCCTGCCTCTAAGATGACTCATTCCCTTGCTTAATCCACTCCCTTCAAGTGTGGGATGGATCTAGTGACTTTCTTCTAACAGAAATAATACAGCAAAAGTGACATCCTGCCACTTTTGTGATTAGGTTGCAAAAGACTGTGACTTCCATCTCATTATCAGACATGCTTGCCTTCTCGGCTTGTGTGCTTCGATGGAGAGAACTGCTATTTGGGAGAGGCCTACATGGCAAGGACCTGGGGTCGGTGGCTTGTGTCC